TTTTTCTTAACTCTAAAATTTGTGAACGCTTCTTTTTTTTCTTATTTGCAATAAACCGGATTTGCTATTGCTGTAAATTGAGCTTTTCAGCGTTTCATGTGATTATTTAACACATGTCAATAATGGCCGGGCAAGTAAGCGGGGTGGGAAAAAGCAGATGACTAATATCTTATCTACTCTGTATGCACCAACAAGTTTGATTTGAGTCTCCTTTAGTGTAGCGTTTTGGCATTAATGATCTTTTTGAAAACCTGGATAAACGTTTCACTGTTTCTAATCTTATCGGACAAGAAGCTTGAAAACATTTGAAATAGCAGAACCATGTAAGCCATGTTTCACAATTGTTTCATAATTTTGATGTTTTCCTGTAAGCCTAAGCCTAAGCCGAATTTTTCACCACACTTGCTTCGTTACTTTTCCAGCGTGTATGAAAGAGCAGTAGCCTATAGTAGACCCCGTCACTTCGAATGTTCTGTATTGAGTGCTGCCTCAGACGAGGCTTCTCGAAGTGGACTTACGAGTGGCTACTGCCTTACCCCAAAGAATGCAACCTAACCGGACAGGTGAGCGACAGGAGGCGCCGCAATGATCTCACTAAACTTCTCTGAAAGCAGCACCAGCACTCCAACGGACTCGTGCCCCCCGTTTTGAGGGCCACGGGTCCGTTGGAGTGTTTTAGTGTAGTAAACCAAGGGGTGCGGATGAGCCGCACTACAGCGATTGACCTGTTCGGCTGACCTGCTGAAGCTGTTCATTTTGCTGCAGCGAGATCTTTCGTCGGTTTGCTGGAGCTGCGAAAATCTTTGCTCAAATAACCCGGTGTAGTAAATCAGGGGCCGCAGCTTGTCCGTCTCAGGGTCTGAGTAGTGAATCATTTGCATGGTCAAACTTGTAAAAAAAACTTGTAAACTTTGAAAATGTCTCGTAGATAAAAGTTGCAGATGTGAGATCAGCATTCATCAATGAGTACAACAACATCTATCTTATCTCAAATTGCCACTTACCGAAATGGCATTCCTTGATAGTTTGTGAAAGTGAAGTTGGCGCTAGCAATGGACAGAAACATTACTCATCTGTCACGCAAATCTAACGTGAATGCTATCTTTGGAATGACAGCTCTATCACAAGTGATTTCCTGCTTTTCATACCATTCTATCAACTTCAGATATCATTTCATTTTCA